ATCCGTCGATCACTCAATCTGAAGGATATATGAACCTCTCCGAAATTCASCATCAACCTACATAATTTTGTAAACCTTTCCTAAGAATGTTAGGAATGAGAAATGAGTAACATGAGCCACTATATTTCTAAAGATTTAAAAATGAAAAACAAAACAAAAAGAGAACATTATTCAACATGCCATAAAATAGAGCTAGTAATCATTGTAGCTCATATGTATGGATTTATTTATTGAGACCAAAGCTTTAGTATGCTCCTCTTTGGATTTTTCCAATATATATGTATGTATGTATGTATGTATATATGCTCCTCTTTGGTGATGGTTCCTCCCGATTTTGTAGGTGATTTTTTTTTTTTGTGAGTACAACATGTTGGAGAATAGATTCGAACTTATAACCTCTTGGTTGGAGATATATATCAATTATCGTTGAGCTATGCTCGCTTTGACGATTTCRTAGGTGATTTTTTAGCATGTTTGCTTTAGATTTTATTGAATTGTTATAAATTTCTCTAATGACTTTTGATGTGTATTTTTGGATGGATTAAATGATGCCAACCTAATTTGAATAATGACTACACATTAATTTCCATCACAATTTGAAGAGAAAGTGAGGATGGAATTTTCCTTTTCTTCACATGTCAATTTTGATAGCCACTTATATGCATGAAGGTTGGATAATCGAAAGCCTTGGATGGAATTAATTCAAGACAACACAATGCCATTGAACAACACATGCTTTGTTCTTCCATATATTACTGGTGGAAAATATCGCAACTTCTCAAATCTTAATTATAAATATTCTCACAACAACCCAGTGTTGTCAATTCTTTATCATCTTATCATCAACAACGAGTTAATAACTTTAAAATAATATAATAAATAACTAGATAAATAAGACCTTTATTGTATAAGTAAAATAAGATACTTTAAATCTTTTTTAGTACAACCCACGACCTTTTTGCTGGAGCTAAGTATTTTAGCTAATTGATCTATGCTTAGTTTGGTGATATTTAGAAGTTATTGGCTTCTTATTAATTTATTTATCTATAATTTAATGATTCAAGCAAATCAAATAGCATCTTTGTACTTTGCAACTTAAATCTACCTACTTCCTAATTGAATTATCATGCTTGTGAATTTTGAAACAATTTATTTAATTCGGCCCTGTTATGAGTTGGGAAATGTTAGTCCATGTGTCGCTCTAGGACTAGGCTCATGGTTCAAGTCCTCGCACTTTGGGAGTTTATAAGTATTTTGTCGACCTACTCTCAAATCGAACAGGTAGAAATTGAAATAGAAGTAGACTGTTGAACCGTTTAATTTCTCACTCACCGTTATGTCAAGTATAAATATTGAAGGTAAATTCGTTCTCAAGTACGCATAAATTTAAATATTTAAAAATAGCTCATATTAAAAGGAGACTACTGTTTACGAATCTCTTGGCGCCCAAGTTAGTGTTTGGTTAGAGCTAATTCATTGCTTAAACAAACGCCAGTTTCAAATGGAATCGTTCAAATTTTAACAATAATTACACTCATGACACCTATCTAGTTGTCACATCACAGTTCATTTTTATCTCTTCTGTAGAAGACAGTAGGTAGAAAAGAAAAATCACCTGACATTGAATAAAAATTTAAATGACCAATAAATATTTTTCTTTTCAAATCCACTGTTGAAAATGAAATATTAAAACAGGTTATTAACTCACAAAGTCTTTAAATTTTTATAAAATTATCTATTTAGCCATTATGCTTAAAAAAAAAAAAATAATCAACCAGGTATTCAAATTTCTTTATTTAGTATTACGCTATAAGAATTTATAATAGCATTTTGAACTTTCACTATTAGATATAAATCCTATACTTAACTAGTGTAACATTTAGCGTTTTGAGTATATTAATTTACGGCTACATGATTAGTTGATTCTTGCATGTTTAAGTTTCTATTGGTGCAAGTTTAAATAAATAAATGAAGTTAATAACAGGAATCTATTTCATATAAAATATAAATATTATGATTCATTAGAAAACTTTTAAAGCACAATAACTAAATTATTAAAAAAATAAAAACCTCTCTCGCATTTTAGAGCCATTTCTATTGTATTAGAAGTCCTTTAATGTCAACTTGAGCAGTTTAAAACTAATTGAATCATATATCATCAATCAAGAAGGTAGAGGTTCAGATCTCCGATCCAAATATTGTAGAACTAAAAAAGGTCCCGATATTATATGTTGTATAAGAGAGGTTATTTAATATGTTAACACAATACATCTTTCAATTCTATATCATTTAATATTTGAGAACAAATTTTGGAATATTTTGTTTTTCATACACTTTAATAGTAATGAAAATAATAGTCATGCCTCATACGTACAATTGAATAACAAGTGGGTTAGGAGAATTCGAACTTATGATTTATTATTAGAAACATGTGTCAATTACCATTGACTTGAATTAATGTTGGTTGAAGAAGATCATTATATTGTAGAAACGGAGAGTTTAAATAAATAGAGTAAGTAAGAAGTGTAATTGGTCAAGCCCTAAAATGATTAGAGATAAAAAAAAAAAAAGGAAGTGATTCTAAAGTGTGTGGTGGACAATGGGGTGACCCATTACATATTTATAATGAAATGGAATTTTCCTTGGGAAAGTGTGAGAGAGACAGAGGGAAACTGTGGGGGAATTTTCCTGATTGCAGCTTTATTTTTTTTTTTTTTTCTGTTCTAATTACAAAGAGTTTCTAATTTCTTCTTTCCTCTTGCTTCTCTTTAAATATCATTATATTCTCTGTTTACCACTTGCTTTTGCATTCTAATTATTGCTTTATCCTTTTACTTTATTTTTATTTTTATTTTTATCATGGTTTTGGAAAACTGTAGCTGGGAAGATGATTCTTTTAAATGAATACATTTATTTTTTTAATTCTTTGTTCAAAGAGTCCACAGTTGCAGCCTTGCAGCTTTGATTATTCAATTTGGCAAAATCATGATTATTTTTTTAGAATAACATTACTTTTGGAATATTGGTATAGGATGAATGGAGTTTAAGGTGTAAATTTTTATTTTCTGCAAATCATTGTGTTTTTTTACGATTATTAAAAATTCTAACGATATTAAGTCAAATTTGGAAAATAATTTATTTTGTAAAAAATTTAAAAAAAATTTCTCACTTTGCATTCCTACTTTTACTTGTCAAAAATTGAATGGTGGTCAGGATGAGAATTTCACTAACTAATCATAGGTTAATGGTGTATTTGAAGGTGATTTTGGCACTAAAATAACATTATCAAAATCACTTCTCTTTCTATTTATCATGTTTGACAAATTAGAAAATTTATTTTTAAGGTACTTTTTTCAAAATTACTCATTCTACCGTCACTCTCAATCACATCTTTAAGTATATTTCTTTTTTTAAGTTATATTAGAAAAAAAGTAAAAAATTAATTTCTTGATTCTAGAATAGACCAAAAAGTAAAAGAAATGATAATTAATAATAAATTTCTTGCATATTTATTAACTTTTCCATTAAAATGTGAGGCAGATCTCCAGGATGATATATGCATACTAATGAAAACTGTGGAGGATGATTAATTAATGACTTATTTTAGTCAATTAGGTATGAGGTATGAAAGTCAACGAATAATCAAATCCTTTCAATAATTTTGTTTTGTGCAGATAGAGAGAGCCCCACATGACTCTCAATCTCAATGCATGTAATCACAAGAATTACAAGAAAAGACAGTGTCTGAAGGACTAATTTGGACTCAAACTTGATTTAACTAAATGCCCATTACACCCCTCTCTCACTCTTACCTTCCCATAATTCATATCCTTTCACAACTAACATTAATTAATGCACCCAAGAAGAATGAGAGAGATAGAGAGAGAAATTTAAGCTTGAGTTTTCATTAGATAAAAATCAATCTCAAAATGGATTTGGACCACTATTTGAAATCTCCAGCTCTAATGGAAGGTCAAATTTTACAATTATTATTTTTTAGAATATAGTTTGAAGATATCCCTTCACATCGTGACTTGAAAACAATATCTTAAAATGAGAAATAGGGCTATGATAAAAAGTTTCTAACTAATAGAATCTTGTTTGGTCGTATCCTCTTTAAATAATTTATATTGATAAGTTTCAACTAAGCAATCAATAACTTGTGTATACAATTGTTTTGAATTTTATCTTATTAAATTTGAAATATTACTATATATATCTTTTCTATTCACTATATTTTACACTCTTGTAGGCCTATTAATTATCAAAATAATCGAACATGATCAAATATATATAAAAACGATAATTAATTTAATTAAATATGTCCAAACGTTCTCAACATACCTACAATTTTTCTATACAATAAATTGGTTCTTTAGTGTGAGTTTTGACCTCCGACCTATTGAATCATAATATCACTTGAGAATATGCAAATAGCAATGCCAAAAGACATTAATGAGAGTTGACTATTACCCATAATTTATGAACTGTGGTAAAGAAAACAAAAGTACATGGAAAGGTTCTACCCACTTATATCAAAATAAAAGTCACCCAAAACATCTACAATGGTGGCTAACCGTCAACCGACCACCTACACTCAAACATCAATGATTATTGTAGCCTCTTAAATTAGACTATAATAAATACATGGAATGTGTAGTTTATGAATTTTAATGAAATATCGCACCAAAAAAAAAAAAAGACCAAGATGTTTAAACCAAGTCTTTCAGAGGAAGGCAAATTGGAAAGCATGAGAATCCAATAAGTTAGTCATAAACAAATTGGCATGTAGAAGATGATACTTTTTTAAAATTCCAACTCACTTTTAATTCTATAAAGCATTTAGTATATCATATAAGTGGTATTTTTTGTTTTAACACAACTTTTAAAAGACAGAGAAGGAAATACAATAATGACCAAACAAGACTAATAAAGCAAGAAGCAAAAGGAAAAACATTCAAAGCATTATAACGCAGGAATAAATTTGTTGCAGCCAAATAACAATGGCAACGTGTTAAAAAAGGGCATCATAAACCTGCATAAAAAAATTGTACTAAAAAGCAAAAACTCCCTGTACATAAGTGCATAAAACCAGAGGCTGGAACAGTGTGGAGTGTTTCAAATCGGAGAAGGCACATCGGCTGCCATTTTTGGGCCTTGATTCTGAAAAAAAAGTGGGGGTTCGCCCTCGCCATGTATTGGCCTGAAACAAGCAAAATAACATTAGAGTTTGATTGTACCACTGAGGCAGAGGCAGAGGCAGAGGCAGAGGCAGCCATCTTGGTCCGGCCAAGGCTCAGGCTCGGGCTCAGCAGCGCACCAGTATAATCCCACTTCCCACTCTCAATTTCTGCTTCCTGACAATTCGTATCACACAGCTGATACGCACCTCTCTCTCTTCTTTCTACGTACCCAAAAGAAAAAAAAGTGCACACCACACCAAAGTTTATCCCTCCCTCTTTCTGTCTCTCTCAATCCGTATTGTATTCTTTTGAGCTTTTGGTAAGGTGAGTGAGGAGTATATGGGTTGTGGGGTGGGGGCGTGCAGTGGGTGACTGAAAAGAGAACCGTGAAAGAAGGCCTCATAAAGACAGAGAGAGAGAGAGATAGAGAGATGGGTTTTGCATTTTCATGCTCTTGACGAAATATGGTCTTCTTCTTTTTGCTTTCTTCTTCTGCATTTCTTTGAAGCCATGGTGGTTGTGTCTAAGCTCTTGTGTTGTTTAATCGTTCTCTCTTCTGCCGTCCTTTGCCTTTCCTACGAACCTCGGAACCCTGAAGGTAAAACTTGAGCAACAATTTGAATTTGAGTTTATGTATAACAACAAATTTCTGAAAGTTTCCTAATATGTCTGTCTTATGGGCTTGTTCCTTTTCTGCAGTGGAAGCCCTGATTAATGTGAAGGCGGCATTGAATGATCCGCATGGGGTGCTCAGCAATTGGGATGAGGACTCTGTGGACCCTTGCAGCTGGGCAATGATCACCTGCTCCCCTGAGAACCTCGTTATAGGACTGTGAGTTCTTATTGTTTTGTTTCTTCATATTTTCAATTCAAGAAACGTTCTGGTCTCTAGGACTTGATTTCCCAGAGGGTAGGAAAATGGAACTAAGTGTTCGACTTATGGGATTTTGCAGGGGAGCTCCGAGCCAGTCTCTTTCTGGAAGTTTGTCTGGGGCGATTGGGAACCTCACAAATCTTCGCCAAGTGTAAGAGATCCGAGTGTATTAACTCTCTGTTTTCAATAGTAGAAACCCACTGAAGTCTCGTTTTTCTTCTGGTTCTAGACGTTTGTTTTAGACTCTGTGTTCGTGAAGAAAGCGATATGAAATCTTTTTGGACTTTTGAATTTATTTTGGTTGGATGTGAGGTTTTTTCGCCCTGTTTTATTACAAATGTTTTGTATCTTCTCCATCTACAATGTTTTCACGAAAACCAAATCAAGTTAACTGGAATACGGTAACTTCTCCAAGAAACATAGCTCGCCATGGATGTACCACGTCTCGTTTAGTCTTCTGACTGTTCTATTTCTTATCCAAATTTGAAGGCTGCTGCAGAACAATAACATTTCCGGTCCAGTTCCCATTGAACTTGGAACTCTGCCATTGCTTCAAACATTAGATCTCTCAAATAATCGGTTCTCCGGCCCAATACCAGCATCTTTTGGTCAGCTGAATGGTTTACGCTACCTGTAAGTATTCAACTCTTTCCACCTTGATTTTCTGTTTGGTTTCCTTGAACATGGAGGACAAAATAAGGAGTAAATCTTAAAAATTTCACTCTTTCCATAGAGATTTTGTACGACTTGATGTAATTTTAATAGTTGAAGGTGGACTTTCAATTTTTTCTCGAAGATCATGTATTTGAAGCACAAGTCGCTGCTTGTTTGATTGCTATTTTGAGTTAGTTATGGGAAATAAGTTGCACTTTGTTATTTTGTCTTGTAACGAGCAGGAGGGTGAACAATAATAGCTTGTCCGGGCCTTTTCCCGTGTCCTTGGCCAAAATCCCCCAGCTTGCTTTCTTGTGAGTATTCATTATTTTGTTTGTTTTCTTTCGCCTGTGCTATTTGTCTTCACTATAAGAAACCTGCCTTCTCTCCACGACTTTTCTGATGTTCAATTCAAAACATTTGTTTTTCAATATTTAAATTTAGGGTTCTGTTCATGTTACTACTTGGGTGTTGCAGGGACTTGTCTTTTAACAATCTCAGTGGACCAGTGCCTGTGTTTCCAGCCAGAACATTCAAGTATGACTCACAACCACGCTTCTCTCCCCTCTCTCTCTTTCTCAACACTTAGTTGAATGATTTCTTCTAATTTGGGTTTTGGTTCCTGTAAATACTCCAGTGTGGTGGGAAACCCAATGATTTGTGGAATTAGTCCTAGTGAAGGTTGCTCTGGCTCAGCCAATGCCATTCCTCTTTCTTTCTCTCTAGAATCATCCCCTGGTAACTATTGTATAAGTTATTCTCCTTCAAAACCAAGCTTTGTTTTCTTATTGGGTATGACTTCTTGACGTGACTTTTATGCTCTCTTAATTCATGGGTATTAGGAAAACTCAGGTCCAAAAGAATAGCAGTGGCACTTGGAGTCAGCCTGAGCTGTGCTTTCCTAATTTTCCTAGCGCTTGGAATTCTTTGGCGCAGAAAAAATCAGAGGACCAAAACCATCCTAGACAGCAATGGTCAGTGTTATCAATTATGAACTCTTGGAACTTTTTCTAAACAGATCCTTAAATGAACCGTGAATTTTGTAGTAGAGAATCAAGAAGTGGGACTTGTGCGCTTAGGAAACCTCAGAAACTTCAGTTTCAAAGAGCTCCAGGTAGCAACAGACCATTTTAGTTCCAAAAATATACTTGGGGCTGGAGGGTTTGGCAATGTGTACAAGGGAAAGCTAGGCGATGGGACTATGGTGGCAGTGAAACGGCTAAAGGATGTAACGGGTACCACTGGAGAGTCCCAGTTCCGCACAGAGTTGGAGATGATTAGCCTTGCAGTTCATCGCAATTTGCTTCGGTTAATTGGTTATTGTGCCACTTCTCACGAGAGGCTCTTGGTGTACCCTTATATGTCAAATGGCAGTGTAGCTTCCAGGCTCAGAGGTTTGTCTCTGTTTACTTTGCAGCGACTACTTTCACTGCCTATATATGGTTAAAAAAAAAACTTAATCTCTCTTGTGAAACAAACATACTGCGTTTGCTGGCACAGTGTTGTACCTATCAAAGTTTGGTCTTGATGGGCCCACAAGTTATAAGTGGGTCCTTCAAAAGTTTGGATCTTTCCATGTCGAAACCATCCTGAGAATAAGGTTGACTGTGTAGTTGCCCTTTCCTTGAACCAAAATAGTTTCTCATTGCCAAACAGCTGTTTATAATTTTCTCCAGATCAAACATCACTATCAAGAAAATTTCAGGACCATTTTTACTCTCAAACGGGTCAACCCTTCTCCCCCTCGTGTTTTTATGGAAAGAAATATCACTACCAACTAAAGAGATCATGTTTCCGGAGTATCTGGAAAAAGCCTCTTAATTTTGAAAATATGTTATGTTCTTGTTAAAGAAGATGCCTAACCAATTTCTAAACCGATCTTAATTTGATTTCTGATAATATTTTGTTCATGTGATTGTTTCACTTGGGCTCACCTGCATCCTGGAAAAACCAATAACATGTACAATTCAATAATACAGGAAAACCAGCCCTGGACTGGAATACGAGGAAGAGAATAGCAATTGGAGCTGCAAGGGGTCTGCTGTACCTCCACGAGCAATGTGATCCTAAGATAATCCATAGAGATGTGAAGGCTGCCAATGTGCTTCTAGACGACTTCTGTGAAGCTGTGGTCGGTGATTTCGGACTCGCAAAGCTGCTTGACCATGCCGATTCTCATGTGACCACTGCTGTTCGTGGCACTGTCGGGCACATTGCTCCAGAGTATCTTTCAACTGGCCAATCTTCTGAGAAGACTGATGTGTTTGGGTTTGGAATCCTTTTGATCGAGCTAATTACTGGAATGAGAGCTCTTGAATTTGGGAAAACAATTAACCAAAAAGGCGCCATGCTTGAGTGGGTAAGTTCTAACCATAATCTTAAAGCTAGTTTAACTGTTTCAATGATTGAGGCTAACATCTAAGATTGCTGCTGCTTTTGATGCTATAATGATTTCCTGTTAGTAAGCATGGAAAGTTTGTCATTTAAGATAATTTGATATGGCTGTTGATTTGATGCCCACACGGATGGGGCTGAAAGGGAAAACTCTTCGTGGCAGGTGAAAAAGATACAACAGGAAAAGAAAGTGGAATTGCTTGTGGACAGAGAGCTAGGGAACAACTATGATCAAATTGAAGTAGGGGAGATGTTGCAAGTGGCTCTTCTTTGCACTCAGTATTTACCTGCCCACCGACCCAAGATGTCGGAGGTGGTCCGAATGCTTGAAGGGGATGGCCTTGTTGAGAAATGGGCTGCATCCCATACTCATAATGACTTGAATGTCAACCTCTTCCCTTCACGGAACAGTAGCAAAAGTACATACAACCCCACAAATGCAATGAAGAATTATGGCAATGATCGAGATCATTCGAGCATGTTAAGTTCAACAATGGACGACGACGACGACGAGCGATCTTTAGACTCCTATGCCATGGAACTCTCTGGTCCAAGATAGTAGAGAAAGTAAGTCAGAGACAAGGGAGGTTAATTCATTGCTTTAATTCTTTAGAGAGCCAAAATCAAGTAATAGGAGAAAGATGGGGTTCAGTGTTGGATTCATAAACTTTGTGTACTTTTTCCTAAAAATTCTCTCGATATTCTGGGTTGGACATGTAAATATGTGACATCCTCTTGGTCTCCTTAAAATGGTGCGGTTTAAAACAGTAGAAGGGAAGGCAATGCCAAGCTTGTATAGAATGATTTTGACGATCTTCTCTTAATAGTTAGATATGGAGTTGAGTTCTTGTTGTTGGCGTTAGCCATGGCTGTTCTGTCATTTTGTGGGGATGAAGGAATGGCGAGTGGGGTCGATGTTCTGAGTTCTGATCTTTGAGAAGTAGTCAATTATTTTCGGGGTCACGCGCTCCTCTTTTCAGTTTCTTCTTTTAGCGTGTCCAATTCCAATAGTTTTTACTGGCTGTCTAAGTTTATCCATTCTATCGCCATTTCTAAGAATCTGTGACTGTAAAATACCAAAAACAAAAGGGTGTCTGTCTTATTCACTTTGACCCACGTAGGTTTCTTCTTCAAAGGAAACTGTCGGCAAACTCTCGTCTTCTTGAAACCTCAAATCAATAAAGTCCATTTTTTCCCTCTTTCCTTTGTCTTGAGCTTTCTAATTATCTACGGATATGGATAAAGAAATATATGTGCTTGTTACTGGTTAGGAATTTAGGTTAAAAGCATGATGGCTTGCTCTAATTTTTCCCACATAACCTAAGATTTTGTTCTCTGAACTAACATCTATATCAATCTATTCTAACTGTAAACTTAGGAAGAAAGAAGAATTAAAGAATGGAGGAGAAAGGAACCCTAATAAATTTGTACATTGTTGGAACCTTTTGCTTGTTTCTTCTTCATTTCTATGGCTTGAAGATCTATCATAAATTTGGAGAAGATCATCTAAATCTTCTTCTTCTCCTGCTTCCTTCGGGGTCCCCTCATACTCCACAGCCAGCCAGAAAGAAGGAGAATGCAGCAGTTTCATCTGTGGAGTACGGTTAAAGCGTCTGCCATTATATCTGATGATTGAGACCCCTCAATGAAATCAAAGGTATACTGTAAATACAAGTATCAAGAAGTGGAAGAGAAAAGATACAAGTTGTGTTATTTGAGAGTGAGGTATAATTTTGGGGTGAAGCGTTTCAAAGGTAGTTCTTCCATTAGATAGATATATTTCCTGTCCTTTGTATCAAATCCATATATATTTAAGCTTTCATATAATACATAATAGATATATATAGTTTTCAAATTAGATAACCATCATAGATACTTCCTGTCTAGTAGCAAGATTTTGAATGCATCTGAGCAACCATTACAATCTATTATTAACAAAGTGAAGAAAGCAAAATCATGTATGCAAATGTGGGGAACACAAAACTATGCTGCACTTCCTAGTTCAACAATTTTCAACAATAATTATGTTTCCCATTCCAGATATGTCAATATATTTGTACATCATTGTGCACCAGGCACGAACTAATAGCACATCTTCTGATTTCTAAATTTCAAGAATTGATGCATAAAGAAGAAGATTAGTACTTCAGAACATAAACATTACATTATTTACATCTACGACTGAGAGTCTAAGATCACGTGTCTTGTCTAGTATAGGTCAACAAGTGAACTCAACAACAAACAATATATTTGCAAGAAACAAGTGTTGTGGATCAAAAGATATTAACATCGCAATAAAGTATAACATATGTTTTGAATTTCAGCGTCAAAAGGCCTTACCAGAAGATACGTGTACCAAATCTTTTCAAAAGACTAACTGACATGAACATGAACAGGCATTGACATTTGGGCATGCTGTAGGACAGTTAAATCACGAGAGGGAGTTGATGTGACATACATATCCGTTCAATGTTGAAATATCAGCACTGAGTCTTGCAAATAAAGTAGCCTGAGGAAGATGGTGATCTAATAGTTATCAAAACTTGCAATAATTGAGATTTACTATTTTGCCACAGCATATTTATAGTTTTCATCAACATTTGGACGGAAAAATTAAGAGGTAGAAGACAACTTTGCTGCAAGCCTAAACTGTATAATCATACATGGAATAGAAAGAAAAAAAAGAAGAGGACGACTTGAGCTGCAGTTCTGTAGATTTTCTTTTACCTTCTAAATTCACCGCTCTCACCTTTCCATTCAAGTTTTCAAGCTTGTGCTAAAATGTGATACAGAGAGCAACATAAAATTTTTATCTGTCTCAATAAAGAAAGGAAAAGAAAAGAAAATCTATCAAAAATCAACAATTGAAAAAACTTCAATAATCATATCTTTACCAGCTTCAGTAACTCCTTGCATAATTGATCGGCTTGAAATTAACAAGTTTGCTCAAATGCCTCATCATTCGGATTACAGAACATCAAACAGAGCTCTCACTTTCAGAAAGTGGCTATCGACTTGGCAACTTCAGTCTCGATTCATATTATAAACAATACTGAGGAAACTGAAAGTATTCAATCAGATAAAATTTCAAGATAGATGTCAAATCCGTCGAAGTGGTGGATTCCTCGAACCAACTTCGAGCCAATTCCTGGATGAACGATGATTCAGTATCCCATTACTAGAACCAACATTATTCTGATCGCATTCACCATATAGTGGAACTTTTAGATCCACGTCTGATGGATTGATCATATCAAAAGATTTATTCTCGGTGCCATTGCCACAAGATCCGAACCGAGTTCGTTCACGTATCAAGAACTAATGACTCTAAGACGAGCAGAAATTACGTTATTTCAATAAAATTCGTGAAAATTTCTTTTCATGATTCGTTTTTTTCATTATGTTCGCACCTTGATTCGCCATCTTCTCCACCTATTTCAATTCTCAGCAGATCGAAGAGGGCCAAAACTGGACGGGACGACGAAGTTTAATCGTCGAAACGGGCCATTTTCATATATAGCCCACCTGTGATAGCTTAGCTATCGCTAAAATATGGCCCACTTCTTGGGTAGACAATTGACGGACCTGCTGATGGGCTCAACTTCAGAAATTTTGATTTGTGAGCCCAATATTAAATGAGGCCCATATAATGGATTTGGGTCGGGCTTTTCTAAAAAATTGGTTTAAAACAAGATTAATAGAAAGTAGGTTATCTGCAGGTTAATTATAAACAATTTAAATACAACTTTAAATAGTTTTAAATACTACTTTGTATCATAACCCATGCTTTTATTTAGTTTTTATAGTTAATATTAATATCATCGATGTTTCGTTATCGCCATATTGTGCGTGAGGAGATATTAAAGTTGGCTTATCCATGTTTTAACCTGAAGGACGTATGGAGATGTTAAATAATTATTTTATCTATTTAACTTTTCAGAAAGCAATTAGGGAAATTCATTGTTATTATTAAAAAAACACTTTGGATCCATGTTACTGGGAGACTTGGAATTGCAAATATGATTAGTTTATGTAGTGTCTTGTCAGCCTTACATGTGCATTTGGGAATATTATAGTTTTCCGTATCACATGAGGAACATATCGGTTACTTTTCTTTCTCCAAAAAAAAACAACAAAACAAAAAATCCACGCACATATATTAATTACTTTTTGTTTTTTTTTAATGTATCTCTCGAAGCTTGAGTTGAGACTTGATATGGCATTTCCCTCTCAAAATAGAAGCAAATATGTCAAAAAGAATAGAGATAATAAAAACTAGGGAAAAATTTCCCTGAAGTTTAAGTTAGGCGTCGATTTAGTCCAAATTTTAAAATGAATATTTTTAGTCCCTAAGTTTATAAAATGGTTCAAAAAGATCTCTAAGTTAATTTGACCGTTAGTTGACTAATGGAAGAATGATGTGTCAAGATGGTGTGTAAAATTTTAAATGAGTTGTCAATTTTTATTAATTTTATATTCGTTTTTAGATTAGGTGGCTTTTCAAATTTTTTTTTATGTTCTCCACGTGGCAAGACTTTTTTTCACCGCAATATACTTTATTGTTAATGACAACGATATCGCAAATATTTAATAAAGTATCTCCTCAATTGTATGATATTGTCCGCTTAAGATGTAACTCTCACAGATTTGCTTTTAGTTTTATTCAAAAGGTCTCATATTAAGAGACATTGTTCTTCGTTGATATATTCATGATCTTCTCCTTGTTTAGGAAATGTGAGATTTTGTTTGTACTTCTCATAAACCCGACACTTATAATTCAACCAAAAAAAAATTTCTCTACATGAAATTCGTCTAACCCCAACTTTTCAAAATAAAAAAGGAGCAGGGAATGGGGACTGAAATTCTTCTTGTCCCACCCTACTCTATTATCTTCCTCAAAGAATCTCATTTCTCAAGCATTCGCAAGTACAAATGACTATGTATTTCCAATACATTAAATTTATCAAAAAAGGGAAAAGGAAAACATGTATTGCCATAATTTATTGTCAAAAAAGTACTACAATTTTTATTTTCTCATTTTATCCTCATATTTCGTGTCCAACCACGTTATGCTATTGACTTGATGCATTGCATTCTTAAAGCAACATATTCATCAGTTGCTTTTTCTCCATAATCTAAAGAACACGTGTATTCACTCTTTTTTTAAAAATTATTTATTTTTATTTTCATTTTTGATAAATTTTATATAATCTTGTAAACCATGCTTTATAAGAATGGATCGGAATTCCACCTTTTTTTATTTAAAAAGTTTCAAATGCCTTTCCAATCCCTATTCTTTTATGAATTCTTTAATTTACAATAAAGTATTCAATCTATAAATTGAATTTGATATAATTTAAGATAAAAAGTTAGAGCTTATATTTAGTATGTAAATTAAATTAGCTCAAACTAAAGTTCACTTATTCCTTGACCACACCTAATTTTAGGTTTATGAAATTCAAATTATTAATTCTACCCATCCGATCCAATATAGTTGTACACAAATTTATGTTTTTTTTATTACTCATTATTTTGCACCAACCAAAATAAGCAACCCTAAAGTAGTGAAGCAGAAATATTGAAGTAATTTAGAGTAATTTTTCAAGGTAAAAAAAAAAATTGGAAACACATGTAATCAAATCCTAATTGAATTCCCTTCGAAAAAAAGGAAAAATCCTAATTGAATTGAATGGACGGTAATAAATAAATAAATAAATAAATTAGTGGAGGAAGAACAGAGCCCATACGGAACGGAAAAGGAATCTGAGGGACAAGAGTCAAGAACGGGAGTTTTATTGGGCCGCTACGTCGTTGTATGTCATCATTTTCAGGTTTGAAACACCCAAAAACCAGCTTCTTGAGTTCTTGTTGCCTTTTTTACTTTTCTTAATTTTAAATTGAATAAACAAATCACTGTTTTGGATAAATTAATCATAATTTTACGAGCAATTAGCACACCACCATGTAAAAAGCCAAATCACGCAACCTCATAGAAACTTGGAGTCTCTTTCTCTTTCTCTGAAACTTTTGTAAACTGGAGTCTTCGGCGTGGATTAGAGGTCATTGCAAAATTGTGGGTTCCATCGGAGGTTCATCATTAAGAACCAATTCTTACATTTCGGTCTTCTCAACCTTTTTCCGCGACATAAGGTTTCCATTTCGGATCGGTTCTCTCTCCCACAGTAGCCCAAGATTTCTGGGTTTTTTCGAATCCAGGTTCTTTTTTCCCGTATTATGCGTTTTACTTGATATGCACATGCAACTGTTCTATCATCACTTGATTTTTTGATGCTCCAGTTTTGGTTTCCTGTGTTCTGCATGTTTTTTTGAAGGATTATTCGCGACTTTTGTAAAATTTTTCATGATTTGAGATCCACCCAATTAAACATTATCTCTGTGTTTGATTCTCTGGAGATAAGTACTCTCATTCCTTTTCTTTTTTCGTTGAGAAGGTGCTTCTTTTTCTGTTCATTTTACTATTTGTTCTACTTTTGGCGTAATGATGGCATATTTTGGTTAGCTGGTTCTGAATTTAATTTAATCTTTCAATTTCTGTTGTCTCCACTAATTGGCAGCATATTCATCTTGGATTAGATGTGTCTTGTGGTTTCTGCATGGGTAAAAGGGTTGTTTTTTCCGTGCAGCTGTTTTTTGGATTGAGGACTTCCAAGGTCCTGTCATAAAATGAGAAGCGTAAATCGATATGTTCGTCACCTCAGATCAGCTTTTTCTCAACAAACACGCCATCATACTGGCGTTCTTGGACGAGGGCAGAGGCAAAGGCAACTGGTTCATACCAATTGTGGGTCTGCTTTTATTGTCAAATCTGATAGATATCGAACCCCAGAAGTTTTAATTTCGAGAGCTCTGTCAGTTGACGCTGCTAAACTTTCTAATGGAGGTACTTCTCTCTCTCTCTCTCTCTCTCTTCCCTTCTTTTTCCATTAAGAAACGCTAGCCGTCCAAGTTTTATGAGTAAATTCGGATATAATGGAGTTCCTTTTGTTTTAAATTTGGATTTTTGGGTTCAATTGCAGACTATAGGGTGGCAGGGCCACTCGTTGAGTATGAAAGAAGAATTGCTGCTGGCGAGCTTGTGGATGGTGATAGCTGTCAGGTATGCCGAGCAGTTTCCCCTGCATCTTCATTGTTCATATTTAGAGATGAAAGTGAGTTTTAAATGGAACTGTCCATGATAGTTCACTTTTGGCGGGTTATTTCTAAAGCTCAATCTTCTGCGTCTGACTGTTTTTAGAGAACCAAATTGGCTGATTTACCAAACAGGAATAAATAAAATATGCAGTAATTTTAGGTCTACATCTTTGTAACGGTTGGCTTAATTTAATGCTATTTGATTTTGATGTGAAAATATGTACTACATCTTTGTAAAGCTAAAGTTGGCTTAATTTTAATGTTATTTGATTTTAATGTGAAAATATGTTTTTGTTGTCTAAGCACATGTTTTTAAACCTGTTGAAGTCAATTCTCATAGTATCTTTGCAGGTAGGTACTTTGAGGGAACTTCAGAGACTGTACGACGAACTTCTTAATTCAGCTGAAGCGTGCCGGTTGGATCGATATGCAGTATCTGAAAAATCAGGAAGGTAATTACTCCATCATGTAGTTATAGTGTTTGTATTTGGAGTATTCAAATTTATTTAATCTTGTAGTTTCTTTTGATTAATCATTTATTTTGCCTTATTTTTTTGGTCCATGCAGGAGTAGATGGTTGTGGTCTCGGTTCATTCCTCAGTCATCGTACTCTCCGGTTAAAGGCCTATATCTCTATGGAGGAGTAGGCACTGGAAAAACTATGTTGATGGACTTGTTTTTTGATCAATTGTAAGTTTTGTTGAGCTTATGAATCAATTCTTATGTTTCTCCAACCTCTTTATTTGTTCTCCTGCCCTCATGTTGACAAATGGTTCCACAAATTCAAATGGAATCCAACTATTATAAGTTTCCTGAGGGTTTAGTTTCTTCCATCTATGCTATTGTTTGTCTGTTTTCTCTTATTGGCCCCTTAACTTACAGTTAACTCTCTTTTCATAGACCCAGCAATTGGAGGAAAAAGAGGATCCATTTTCATGACTTCATGTTGAATGTTCATAGTCGTTTGCAGGTAAGATTGACTGGTGGTTAATATTTTTAAAATAAATCTCCTGCACTTTAGAAACCAAGGTAATCACTTCAATCTTGTAACATGTCACATATCTGTAGATAAACTAATGTAGTTTGCCTGATAAACACCTGTCTTGAATGCATATTTTGACAGCGGCACAAGGGTGTTGCTGATCCACTTGAAGTCGTTGCAGGAGAGATTTCAGATGAGGCAATTTTATTGTGCCTAGATGAATTTATGGTACTCTGACTTTTTAACCGTCTTTCTTTCATTGGTATATCATATCTTTTGGTTCTGCACTTTGGTAACATAAGTAAATTTTCTTAGTATCCTGCCTTCCATAGGTGACAGATGTGGCTGATGCATTGATACTAAATCGTCTGTTTGGACATCTCTTTAGCAATGGTGTCGTAAGTTTTATTGTTACAGTATATTTTAATGTTCCCAACCATTGTAGGACATCATGTTTGATTTCAGACGTAACTTAGAGATTGTTTGTATCTGGTTGAGGGAAGTGTAGATCCTTGTCGCAACATCGAATCGTGCTCCAGATAAGCTGTATGAAGGTGGATTACAGAGGGATCTTTTCCTGCCCTTCATTTCCACTTTGAAGGTATGTTTTCCAACAGGAATATTGTTTTACTTTTTTGTTGAACAATATAAAATGTTTATGCTGCCCTTGATTAAGCCACCCATTCTAACAATAGTAATCTGAATCTAGTGTCAATTTAGTCGATTTTAGCTCAACCCGTGATGATTTTTCCACTCAATAATTCCAAAGGTCTCATGATGTAGGAAAGGTGTGTGACTCATGAAATTGGTTCTGCAACTGACTATCGGAAAATGACTTCGGTAATGATTCTAATTCGATACAAAAAAAATATTCTATTTGAGTCGAAGATTCTGAATATTATAAATTTTAGTCCTACTCTTGACGGCAGGCAGAGCGAGGGTTCTACTTTGTTGGAAAGGACTCATCTAGCTTTCTTAAGCAGAAGTTTCAACAATTGATTGGTAAAAGTACAGCTGGTCCACAAGAGGTGGAGGTAGTGATGGGAAGGATTCTCCAAGTGAGTACCCAGTTTAATTCTATGATGATTTGAGCAACTAAGTTCCTTCAATATTGTTGTTTAGCGTTTCTAATTTGTTCAGGTTCCATCGGGAGCAAATGGATGTGCATATTTCCCTTTCGAGGAACTCTGTGACAAACCCCTAGGAGCTGCAGACTACTTCGGGTTGTTTAGTAAGTCGTTCAAGATGGTATTTGAGTTCATATTAGGAAATGCAAAAGGAATATTTTCGATACAAACCTCCAGAAATTTAGGTGTTGAAAATAAAGCTTAATTTAAGACCCGATTCTGATAAGTGGTACCTAATTTGACAAGATGGGTGTAATCTTGTTCTTAGAAGGAACAACTAACAAGAATGCATGATATTAGGTTTTCAGAAACCATTAACTTTTATTAGCAGATCTCTTGGACAGAAACTCCCATTAGTTGGTCAAACTTCTTGTGTTTCAAGTGACGCCATTTGCTTTGTGTATCATTTTTTTGACCGACTTGCACGTAGGATTTATTTTAAAAACTTTATTGTCTTCCTTTTACAGAAAAATTTCATACCCTCGCATTGGAAGGTATCCCAATATTTGGACTCCACAACAGAACAGCAGCATATCGATTTGTCACTTTGGTTGATGTATGTCTGACACTTCATATTTTGATGCTTTTATCTTCTATAACGTTACGTTACGTAGAAGTTTGTATCTTTTTGACTTCAACCAGTACTTATCCATTCGTTTGATGTCCTACAATGACACTCATTCCATGCGTTATGTTTATTTATTCATGGCATCACTTTGCCATGTATATTAGAAAACTAAACTTATATTCATCTGATTGATTGACATCATAAAATGTATGTTCTTCGATAGGGGGGGAGGGGGATCGTTTGACATGATAATTCCAGAAGATAGGGGAATGGGGGAAAATATCGGCATATTTATGTTTGCCATCAGAAAGAGAAACTCCATCCATTCTCGTGGATGGAAGGACTTGAACTGGTTTATAGAATTTGAGAATTTGTATAGCGAGTGAATCCGGTTTTCTCTTCATACTTTCCATGTTTGGTGACAGGTAATGTATGAAAACAAAGCCAGACTACTATGTACAGCAGAAGGAAGTCCTCAAGAACTTTTTGAAAAGATTGTAACCATCTCTGATGCTCAACAAATTGCACCTAGAACCTCGACGAGGTCGAGGAAAAGCGATGTTTCTGATCTCTGTGTTGACAATGAATTAGGTTTCGCCAAAGACCGCACAATTAGTAGGTAAGGCACTCAACTAAATGTAGTTGGATAATTGAGCTTCTCTTTCTCTCTTTAGCTGACAGATGATTGTAAACGTAGGCACCATGCTTAATGTTTTCTCTTTTCTTTTTTTTCCATAAAAAATGCAGAAAAAGTTATTGCATTTATATTTGAAGCATGAGAACCATGTGTTTTCCTTTTCCATATGTTGTCTCTTGCCTCTTAGTTTGGTCAAGTATATCATATTTATTTTCTCAGTCATCTTTAAAGAAAAGAAAACTTTGTGTTTGAATCAATTCACTCGAAAAAACCTTCATCCCAGAGTACTGATCTCAACTTTCTTAATACCACAAGAGAACTGAAATAATTAAGTCAATGCACCCAAAGAAGGCAATTCGAATCGATTAAAGGCTTGTTGAATATTGTACTGGGATAGATACCGATTCGATGTTCGACCTATACATTGATTAAAATCATTAAACATATTCTGAAACCAAAAGTTTTTCGATGTTTTGGTATGGACGTGTATTCCTTTTTTAGCTGCTGATATCTAAGCCATTGTTGATGCAGATTAACAGAGATAAACAGCAAAGAGTACCTGGAACAACATGCTCAACTTGTAGCAGAGAAGCAAAACTGGCAAGGCCACCATAACCAGGATGCTTTACAAGCATGATTTGTGCTTCTGCATCTTCCAGATTAAAGCATATATCATTTTTGTAACTGCATTTCACTATTTTGACTTGCTAAAATTATATATTTTAGTGACGAGAAATAATGACATGTAAATTGACAAATAATAACAATAATTGGTTTCAAGAGGAAAAAAAAAACTTTTCCTTTGTACAAGAGGGTCTTACCCACATGGTTAGGATGTAGATTAGAGAATGGGAATCCGAGGGCTTGTTATTTATGTTCAGGAGGAAAGAAATTAAGAGTAAATGTGGAGGTTGAAATGAAATAACAACACCAACTTCAATTTTTTACTTCGCAGTTTCCTCTGTTTTGATTATGAAGATTAATATAATATGTGATATCCTGGTTTTTTTT